TTCATTCTTTTTTCTTTCTGTTCCTCAGACTGAATAATCTCAATTGACCTGTCTTCAGGTTCACTGATTCATTCTTCTGCCTGCTCAAATCTGCTGTTAAACAACTCTAGTGAATTATTCACTTCAGTTATATTACTTTTCAGTTCTAGAATTTCTATTTTGTTTCTTTTTTTTTTTTTTTTTTTGCGATATGTGGGCCTCTCACTGTCGTGGCCTTTCTCGTTGCCGGACGCGCAAGCTCAGCGCCCATGGCTCATGGGCCCAGCCGCTCCACGGCATGTGGGATCCTCCCGTACCGGGGCACGAACCCGTATCCCCCGCATCGGCAGGCGGACTCCCAACCACTGCGCCACCAGGGAGGCCCTATTTTGTTTCTTTTTAAACTTCTCTTTACTGACATTCTGCATTTGTTCATGAATTGTTCTCCTGGTTTCCTTTAGTTCTTTGAGCATTTTAAAGACAGTTGATTTAAAGTCTTTGTCCAGTAAGTCTAATATCTGGGCTTCCTCAAGGACAGTCTCTATTAATAATTTTTTCCTGTGAATGGGCCATACTTCTTTGTGTGCCTTATAATTCTTTGAAAACTGTACATTTTGAATATTATAATATAGTTACTCTGGAAATCATATTGCCTCTCCTCCCCAGAGTTTGTTGTTGCTGCTTGTTGTGAGTTAAAGTCATTTGTATGTTTAATGATTTTTCCTAAACTATGTTTTGAAAGACTATTCTTTCTCTTGTGTGGCCACTTAAGTCTTTTTCACTAGCTTAATGGTCAGGTAGTGATCTGATGGAGATTTCCTTAAATATTTGGAAACAAGTCTTTGCAGATTGCCTTTGTGTTGGGGCACTCCTTCAACACCTCTCCAGGATGTTTAGAGCTCTTAGTTTTTACTTGCTGCTTGTGCAGGGCCTAAAGGTCAGCCAAAGGTGAAAGCTTAGGGTTTTTTTCTGGGCATGTGTCCAGCTCTGGGCATGTGCAGTCCTTCTAGATTCCCTGGTATAGGTGGGAGCTTTTCAAAGCTCTTATTCTCCCAAGCATCTGCTTCCCAAACTTCTGGTCTGTCTACTGCTTGGGAAACCTTGCCCCGGGTGGCTACGGTTAGTATATATGCCTTTAAATGCTTTAACAAATGCTATCTAGGATACTGCTTCAGGCCTGAGAAAACTCTGAGGCAGGAGAAACAAAGGCAAGTCCCTGGCTAATCCCTCAGGGAGCCACCAGACAGGTCAAGCACACAAGTCTAATTCTTTGGAAACAAGGTTTTTTTGTGTGTTTTTTTGCAGTACGTGGGCCTCTCACTGCTGTGGCCTCTCCCGTTGCGGAGCAGAGGCTCCGGACGCGCAGGCTCAGCGGCCATGGCTCATGGGCCGAGCTGCTCCGTGGCATGCGGGATCTTCCCGGACCGGGGCACGAACCCGTGTCCCCTGCATTGGCAGGCAGACTCTCAACCACTGCGCCACCAGGGAAGCCCAGGAACAAGGTTTTTATTGTTCCGCCTGCCACCAGCAAGGAATGTGGCCAGGAATGTGGGCTGTCTTCATGGTCACTGACCAGCTGGGGATTAAGGGATGGCAGGCAGGTTAAGTAAAATGCTACAACATTCTCTTACCAAAATTCAACAGCCTCTTTCTTCATTGAGCATTCTCCTGTTTTGTTTTGTTTTGAATTAGATTCCAGAGTTCTGAAAAAGTCGATTCTGACAGTTTTTGAGAACCTAATCATTGCTTTAGTGGAAGGACAGAGATTTGGAGTTCCCTACTCTGCCATTTTTAGTGATGTCACTCTTAGTAAATCTGGTGGGTTCTCAGTCGCTATCACTTTAAATATTTCTTCTCTATTATCTTGAGTGTCTTCTTCTGGAACTCCTATTAGGCTTATGATGAACTTTCTCATTCCATATTCTATGTTTCAACTTCTCTCTTTCATATTTTCTCTCTTTATCTGTCAGTACTATAATCTGGGTAATTTCCCCACATCCTTCAGCTCATTACTTCCCCAGCTTTTGTCTGATATGCTTTTTAACCCATTTATTGACATTTTTATTTCAATAACTATATGTTCAATTCTAGACATTATATCTTGTACTTTAAAAAAGTCGGTCTATTCCATCCCAATAATGTCTTATTCTTTTCTTAGGGCTTTTATTTATGTCTTTGTAATTTAAGTGTATTTTAAATTATTTTCAGACAGTTCTTTTATTATCTCATATTCTCAGGGTTCTAATCCTCCCATTTCTTATTTTTGCTGGTTCTTGATTCTTAGTCATGGGGATTTAAAAATCAGGTGTTTTGTAGTTTTGAACTGTGAGTTCATTTTTGTACCCCACCCCACCCACCCATATCTGTCCTGTGAGAATCTCTTTATGCTTTGATTATGATTTTGCATTTGTTTTTCAGGAGTCCCATGGATTTCTTCAGAATACCATCAAATTGGGATGGATTTTTATGCCAGTTCCCAGGCACTACACTTTCTAAGCTGCATGAAGGTTTCTAGGCTGAAGGTAGGAAAAACTTAAACCAAATCGTACAAAGTGTAGGCTCAAGGTTCGTATTTCTCAAGGTGGTCTTTTTTGCTTTTCCCCACTGAAAACTCGGGCAGAGATGAACATGCTTTCTTGTTCCTCTGTGTGGGTGAAAGGTATCTTCTCTGTCTTTTCCCTTAGGGTGCAGTCTTTGCAGGGTACTGGCCATATGCAGGATTCTCAGTTCTAAATTCCTACTTTGCTTGGGACCAAGGCCTCAACTCCTAACTTGAGAGTATATGAGAATCCATATTCTAGGTTCCTGGGATAATATCTCGTGGGTCATTTCCACCCACACTGAAGCAGCTGATTTGTCACTGCGCCTGTTTTCCATTTCTAGCACCTCTGTGTTTCCTCTTCTTTTTTTTGCCTGAGGCTCAGCCATTCAGTTAAAGCAATAGTGTCTACATTTCCCCTAGTAGTTTTGGGTAAGTACAGCAGGAGGATTTTCAGGGTTCAGTGATTTTTCATCTTTTGCTGGAACTAAAAGTATCTTCTCAAGCACCTTGGCCGGGAATGTGTCCTCTGCCTGTCCCTTTACTTTGTCCTCTGCTTATCCGTCTCCCAAGAGTCTTATATGGCCCTCTTTTCCTTTCTCCTGATACTGGGAGTCCTCATCTACCCCACTGAGACCTATGGATCCCTGGACCCTAATAACTTTTAATAAGTAGGCAGGACAGAGTGTAGTTAGGGACTCAAGACTCTACAGATAAAGCTGGGTTTGAATCCTTTTTCTGCCACTTACTACCTGATTTACCTTGGGGCAAGTTACTTGGCCATTCCGAACCCATTTCATGTATAAAGTGAGTGAAACAGTGAGCATAGGGCTCTGGAGACATGCTGTGAATGTGCAATGAACAAGGGACCTTGGGTTAGTTGGGAGTTAGGTAGGTAAGCTTTGTGATTACAGAGGTAATGGGCAGGGATTCAAGTCCATGAGTCTTCAGGCACAGCATCAAGGGCTTTACTTTTACTCCTAAGGAACAATCTCACACAAGATTATTACTGTCTTCATGTTACAGATGAGGAAACAGAGTCTGGGAGTGGTTGGTAACTTGCCCAGCTCAGCCCCATTCCAGGGGATGACCGCTTTGGGCTGAACATCCTTCTGGGCTTAATATCCTTCTGGGCTTAATATCCCTTGCAGGGATAGTCACTGGAGATCTGAGGCTGCTTTAGATGTGACTTTTTTTTTTTAATTCTCATTTTATATTACTGATTTTTTTCTTTGAATTCTGGGGATGGGATACTGTCACAGTGGTCTTTCCAGTCAAGTGTGAGCTGGCACAGGGCTTGGAAGGAACCACTGGTTGCTACACCTCCCCTGCTCCCAAGGAGAGCAAAGCCTCAGGAAGGCAAAGACTCTTTCCTTTGACCACCAGGTAGGAAAGAGGCCCTCCATCCCCAAGCTGGGCTTTCTGGAAGCCTTTTCTACCTAACTTCAGCTGCCCCTGCTCTGGCCCCACTGGAATGTCTGAGCCCACGCCCGGAGCACAAATAAGGGAGATGAGGCGTATCTCTCTGTTCAGTCACTTTCCAGGTGCCAGGATACACGCGTGAACGCACACCAGGCTCAGGCACTCCCCACCGCCCCTCACTTACAGAAATGGGCCACAGGATGAAGGGCGTGTATCTCTGGATGGCGAAGGTGTAGATAATGATGAAGAAGATGAAGATGGACACCTCCATGGTGATGATGAGTGTCAGGAGGGGGTGCACAGTGGTGCCCTTGAACATTATCAGCGAACCTATTAGGCAGCCCTGCCGGGAGACATGCCCTTTGCGCCACGGCAGAGGGCTCGGGCCAGAGGAGGCCTCGGGGAGCCCGCTCCTCCCTCTGCCCGTCTTTGGGCACTCTCTCCCCCCCCCCCCCCCCCCCCTCCTCTCCCTGACTCCTGGGTTCCTCTCATTAGGAGAGGGTTTTCTTGAAGTTGTCTCCCAGTCATGGGCCAGATAAAATGATGAGAAAGCAAGCCAGAGCTGCAGCCCCTTTTCTATCCTGACTCTCAGTAGCCCACACCGGTTCTTTGACTTGGCCAGTTCATCAAGTTCCTTTTACTGCAACTGTGAGACCCCGAGGGTTGATGATTGGCTGACCTGGGCAGCCTGAACGTGTCGGCCAGCCCTCCCCAGGTGTGCCTGGTTGAGATCAATATAAACACCCAAATAGCCAGAGCCACTGCAGTTGTGTCTGCCCCCCCCCCCCCCCAGCCCCACCCAGGGATACGGGCCCACTTACCAAGCTAATGAGCTTGACCTCAGCGTACCCCATAACCCAGAACTCTCTATTGCTGTCCTTGAGTTCCCACTTGTAACGGCGACACCCCTTCCTCGTTCCCACTTCACCCTTGGGCTGCACGGCCTTTTTCTTCTCCTCTGTCTTTTCCTCAGGCTTGTGGCCCGGAGGAGGGGCTGGTGCGGCCCCGGGTTTGCCCTTTTTGCCTTTGTCAGCCATCTTGCCGTGGAGTTCTCAGCTTCTCACGGCCTGCCCAATTTTTGCCGTCCCCGGCCAGGCCTGGCCTTTGAGCGAGCCGGATGCCCACCGACCTGCTTGGAGGCCGCGCTCAGCCAACGGCCGGGAAGGACGAGCGAAGGCCAGCGCTTCGCGCCCTCTCGGCGCGCGCCTAGCCTCCGCAAGCGAGTCCCCTCCGCCCAGCCGCGCCCCCACGCCCGGCAGCGAAGCGCCTGGAGTCTCCGCGGCCGCCCAGACCCTGCGCGGGAGCCCCCGCCCCCACGCCGGCTCCGGTGGTGGTCCCGCCTCCACGCGGAGCGCTCCCCACGCGAGGCCTCTGGGGGCTGCCGGGGGCTGTAGCCGCTGCTCCCGCCTTCGGGTCGGGTTGGCTGAAACCGTGGCCTCCCGGGGCAGTCGCGCCCAGAGCCCCGCGGGCGCATTGGCACTCGCCTCAGAATGTAACGGGACTTTTACACAAGGCAGCACGAGCAAGCAGAAGTGTTCCGGGTTTAGCAGCCCTGATTTTACGATCACATGTGGGCCGAAATGGGTGACAGCGTGCGAGCTCAGCGGCGGGAGGGAGAAGACGCTGGTGCTTGCGAAGGTGCCCGCGACGGTGCCCGAGAGGGTGGCTGAGAGGGTGCCCGCGAGGGTGCTTCCGAGGGTGGCTCCGACAGGCCGCGTTGCTTCACGGTTGCCCTTGTAGGTGCCCTTGGGCTTCCCCTTGGGGGTACCCTTGTGGGTGAGATGGGTTCCTGGGCGGGGGAGGCACTGGTTTTGGTTTCGATTCCCAGAGCTTTTTTCATGGTATTCCTCATCGTCTTGGTGACCACAGTCGCATCGATGAGACACACGATTGCCGCTGTGAGGCACAGGGACTGTCGGACACAAGACCATATGCGGGAAGGAAAGGCGGGGTTATGCTGCAGCTTCTTAGCAGCCTGTCCTCCCTATCCGGGCGGCGGGCGTGCGGCCTCCTGTCCCCCTCTGACCCTCCACTGCCTTCCTGGTGAGCGCCCAGTTGGCTGCTGCAGCCCATTCTGGCATTCCCAGAGAAAGGGTTTTTGGAAATGGGCTTTTCTGCCAGTGACGGCCTTGCCTAAGGTCTGAGGCACCAGGACGAGAGTAGGGCACTGATCCTCGGAGGCTCCGGGTGGCTGTGGGGTCCCGAGAAGGCCCCTCAGTGGAAAGGACTCTTGGGCTATGTTTGAAATTTTTTTTTTTTTTTTTTTCTTGCGTTATGCGGGCCTCTCACTGTTGTGGCCCCTCCCATTTGCGGAGCACAGGCTCCGGACGCGCAGGCTCAGCGGCCATGGCTCACGGGCCCAGCCGCTCCGCGGCACGCGGGATCCTCCCGAAACGGGGCACGAACCCGCGTCCCCTGCATCGGCAGGCGGACTCTCAAGCACTGCGCCACCAGGGAAGCCCCTTGGGCTATGTTTGAAAAGGCAGGAGGGAGTTTCCAAGGGGACCAACTGGGAGGAGGAGAACTCCAGGTACCGGGCAGGCGTCTCCAAGGAATCTGGTGTGGCTGAGACGTATGGAGCCGCTGAGGGCGAGGGCAGAGTTGAGGCTGGGGAGGTGCAGGATCTGGGACTTCATCAAGAGGGATGGGGAGGTTCCAGATTCAGAAAGCCCACTGTCGCAAGATGAATGGAAAGCGAACCGGGCTGGCAGCAGGGAGAACAGTGGAGGGTGGTAGGAGTCCCTGCCATCCAGGTAAGGATTGATGGAGACCAGGGCGTGGGAGCTCCTGGTAGGTAGGAGAAGGCTTGGTGGCTGAGTTAGCAGATGGAGGTCAGCGGGCTACAACACCCTAGATTCCGAGTGCTCCCCAGCTCCTGTCTACCTTGTATGTTTCTCTTTATGGTCGCTTAATCCCTGGCTGCCTTCATGAACTTTTCCTAGGTAGGTCTTGCTCTAGCTAATCTGTGAGCTCCCTAAGGGGGAAGGGACTCTATCTCCAACACTGAGCTCAGGCGCGGTCCAGTGGGATCGACAGATATTTACTGATCATGGAATGAATTCAAAGAACTTAAACTTTTTTTTTTCTGGATTAATTTCTGTTCCCATAGCTTAACTTCTTGAATCAAAGTCTCACCACCCCATTCCCCACCCGCTATCTTCCAAGCTTTCTTGTGGTCTTCATATGATGAGGATTTGTCCCAGCCTTGTGAGCCAGGGTAAGGTATTTAACCTCAGTTCCCATATCTGTAAAAATGAGAGTTATAAAGATTAAAGCAGAACGTGCCTAGCCTGGTGTGGGAACTTCTTTTCCTTCCTCAACCAGGCTGAGTCACTCACTTTTGACAATGCACTTTTTCTTTTCTACAATCATTTTTTTCTTGTGACTTAAAGTATAATTTTCTAGTCCAGAAAAGTCAAAGTCCTACTTATAGATAAGAACATCTTGTTGCAACATTTAAAAAAATAGTGTGTATGATTTTCAAAAGAGGTTCTGTAGATTTGTTTTCGTACCTATTTGGAGAATGAGCTTAGAGTTTGTGCAAATTCAAATCTTCTGAAGAAGTCAGCGCAAGAAAGAGAAAGGGTGGTGGTGGGGATGGTGTTCTATAAATGAAATAATGATAGTCTGCCAGTTTCCCTTTTCCAGAGTCTTGAAATACTGATCTTAAATGGAGTCATGAAGGCCTCTACTTATCCCTCCAACGTAGAATAAATGACTTCTTTCCTTTTCTAGCATCGCCAAGATGGCAACTACGAAAAGGAACACAGCAGTAATGAAACTGTTGATAAGATCCTGCAATACAGAATTGAAAATTGTCAACTTCACATGAAAATGTAATTTTATAAAATATTTAAATTGATCAGTTACCCATCTAAGGATGGATGCCTTTTAAAAACTTTCCCTTTGAGGAACCCTCCTACACTGTTGGTGGGAATGTAAATTGATACAGCCACTATGGAGAACAGTATGGAGCTTCCTTAAAAAACTAAAAATAGAACTACCATATGACCCAGCAATCCCACTACTGGGCATATACCCTGAGAAAACCATAATTCAAAAAGAGACATGCACCACAATATTCATTGCAGCACTCTTTACAATAGCCAGGACATAGAAGCAACCTAAGTGTCCATCGACAGATGAATGGATAAAGAAGCTGTGGTACATATATACAATGGGATATTACTCAGCCATAAAAAGGAACGAAATTGGGTCATTTGTAGAAATGTGGATGAACCTAGAGACTGTCACACAGAGTGAAGTAAGTCAGAAAGAGAAAAACAAATACCGTATGCTAACACATATATATAGAATCTAAAAAAAAAAAAAAAAAAGGTTCTGATGAACCTTGTTGCAGGGCAGGAATAAAGAGGTAGACACAGAGAATGGACTTGAGGACTTGGGGTGGGAGGGAGGCGAAGTGAGAGTGGCATCGACATATATACACTACCAAATGTAAAATAGCTAGTGGGAAGCAGCAGCATAGCACAGGGAGATTCCATGCTTTGCAACGACCTACAGGGGTGGGATAGGGAGGATGGGAGGGAGGCTAATGAGGGAGGGGATATGAGGACAAGTGTATGCATATGGCTGATTTGCTTTGTTGTGCAACAGAAACTAACACAGTATTGTGAAGCAATTATACTCCAGTAAAGATCTATTAAAAAACAAAAAAAAATCCAAAATAAACTTTCCATTTGATTAATATTAAGAGGAACTCTCAGCAGCATAATTCTTATATCTTTCAGAGACATGAGTTTATGTGATTATAAGGTTCTGGATAGGATCATCAGCAGAAATGGGTTTAACTTCATTAAAGAACACTCTTAAAAAAAAAAAAAAGCTGACAACTTTTCCATCAGACTTTTTAAAGGTCATAGGAAAATAGGCAAGAAAAAAACCTAGAGGTCTAGGGGCCTCACCCATATTGACCCTCCATAAATATGATCTTACTGAAGTTTTGTATTTTAAATTAATGTAAATTCTGCATTCTATTCCATAATACATTTGTTTTAATATAAAAATAAAAATTTAGATGAACACTTTACTGATTTAATTCTACTTCCAAATCTGCAAATCAGTAGAACTGATACTTTGGAAGTTGGATCATATTTATTCTTTAGGGTCCACATCCCAAGAAGCAGGAACCCATCTGAGGAGCTAGCCTGATGTTCTGGAGTGAAAGTGACTTTCTCTCTTTCCTAAAACATGGCCAGAATTGAGTCTGCCCTGACATCTATAGGCTATCTGTGTCCTTCTTTTTGGACATTGATACTGGATTCTTCAAACGCTGGCCCAATCTGTTTCTTCGTGTGCTAAGTGAAGGATGAGGATGAGTGGGAGGGGGCACACTCCTGAGGATAAGCAGAGCCTGGGCTTTGGTAGCACAGTGATAATGAAAGAGAAGGTACTCACTGAGTCAGTGGCACCAGTGTTGGAGGATGAGTAAAACCCCGGGGTCCTTTAACCTCCATATGGCCCAGGTAACTAATCTGAACATTTTAAGTTTTTACGTCTTGGTGGCATGACTTGGTAGTGTCAGCTTGTCTGGTGCACTTGCCCAAACACAGCGAAGAGCCCTGCTGTCTGATCATAATGGGTCTAAGTGGAGCGCCTCAGCGTGCCGAGCGTTTCCCCTGTTATTACCTCATTTAATCCTCACAAACACCCTCCAAAGTCAGTATGGCTAGGATCACCATTTTAAGAAGATGTAACAGAGGCTTAGAGAAGTTCATTAAATTGACTATGATTGAATATCTGCCAAGGAGTGGAGTCAGAACTCAACTCACTATTGCCTCCCATCAGGGACACCCAAATAAGGAGGAAATGATCTATCGCCCAAGGTTGGAAGTGCAGCATCCATCTTTGGCATTTTCTTTGGAATGGGTAATGGAGGGTCAAAATGGTATGGGACAAATAAGTACAAATAATTGGCCTGCCGATTCCTAGATGTATGACCTGGGGTGTGTTTTATCACCACTCTGTGCCAACAGGCTAGGATCTTAGTTCCCTGACCAGTGAATGAATCTGTGCCCCCTGCAGTGGAAGTAAGGAGTCTTAACCACTGGACCACCACGGAGTTCCCCCAACAGGCTAATTTTTTTTTTTTAACATCTTTATTGGAGTATAATTGCTTTACAAAGGTGTGTTAGTTTCTGCTTTACAACAAAATGAATCAGTTATATATATATACATATGTTCCCATATCTCTTCCCTCCCACCCTCCCTATCTCACCCCTCCAGGCGGTCACAAAGCACGGAGCTGATCTCCCTGTGCTATGTGGCTGCTTCCCACTAGCTATCTACCTTACGTTTGGTAGTGTATATACGTCCATGCCTCTCTCTCCCTTTGTCACCGCTTACCCTTCCCCCTCCCCATATCCTCAAGTCCATTCTCTAGTAGGTCTGTGTCTTTATTCCTGTCTTACCCCTAGGTTCTTCATGACATTTTTTTTTCTTAAATTCCATATATATGTGTTAGCATACGGTATTTGTCTCTCTCTTTCTGACTTACTTCACTCTGTATGACAGACTCTAGGTCTATCCACCTCATTACAAATAGCTCAATTTCGTTTCTTTTTATGGCTGAGTAATATTCCATTGTATATATGTGCCACATCTTCTTTATCCATTCATCCGATGATGGACACTTAGGTTGTTTCCATCTCCGGGCTATTGTAAATAGAGCTGCAATGAACATTTTGGTACATGACTCTTTTTGAATTATGGTTTTCTCAGGGTATATGCCCAGTAGTGGGATTGCTGGGTCATATGGTAGTTCTATTTGTAGTTTTTTAAGGAACCTCCATACTGTTCTCCATAGTGGCTGTACCAATTCACATTCCCACCAGCAGTGCAAGAGTGTTCCCTTTTCTCCACACCCTCTCCAGCATTTATTGTTTCTAGATTTTTTGATGATGGCCATTCTGACTGGTGTGAGATGATATCTCATTGTAGTTTTGATTTGCATTTCTCTAATGATTAATGATGTTGAGCATTCTTTCATGTGTTTGTTGGCAGTCTGTATATCTTCTTTGGAGAAATGTCTATTTAGGTCTTCTGCCCATTTTTGGATTGGGTTGTTTATTTTTTTGTTATTGAGCTGCATGAGCTGCCTGTAAATTTTAGAGATTAATCCTTTGTCAGTTGATTCATTTGCAAATATTTTCTCCCATTCTGAGGGTTGTCTTTTGGTCTTGTTTATGGTTTCCTTTGCTGTGCAAAAGCTTTGAGGTTTCATTAGGTCCCATTTGTTTATTTTTGTTTTTATTTCCATTTCTCTAGGAGGTGGGTCACAAAGGATCATGCTGTGATTTATGTCATAGAGTGTCCTGCCCATGTTTTCCTCTAAGAGTTTGGTAGTTTCTGGCCTTACATTTAGGTCTTTAATCCATTTTGAGCTTATTTTTGTGTATGGTGTTAGGGAGTGAGGCTAATTTTTAATATGGGGATAATGATTGGGATTCATTGCGTTCATCTGAGGTTTAAATGGCACAACGAATCTGAAAGCATCAGATGAGGTGTAGTGGGAATGCATCAAAGTGTAGATTCCTGATATCTGCCTTCAAGATAGTAAACTTTTCTGTGAACTTCAGGTGTTCTTCCTGTTGAGACTGTTGAGCAAGGAGCCCTGTTGTGGAACGGGACTTGCCTCTTGGAGAGGCACTAATGTCTGTTATTTGGGCACCTGGTGAGTAACACTGGAGGAGGCACGTGGTGCAGGGCTGGTGAGGGTTGGAAGTCAGTTCCAGTTGGGTTCTGAGGGAGAGGTCTGCCCACACTGGGGCAGGTACAATGGTTTTCAGCTTTGCAGGAAGCATAGGATCTGAGGATTGTGTAAACCAAGATATCAAAAAATATGAACAAGGACCCAAGCGGAGTGTAAACTTATAAAATTAAAAATTAACTAACTGCGGTCTAGATCATTGAGAATTTGGAGGAATGCACACTAATAATAATAACAGTAACAAAACAAATGCAGACTCGGTCTCCCTAGCCAATTGTTGACTCCCTGTCAGAATTCCATCTCCTTGCTGGACTATTGGACATTATAGTTTACTGTGGTCCTTACTTGCAAGGAAGTGCTCTTCTGAACTGTCCCTTGGAAGTAATGCTTTCTTCGTACCTAACATTTCTCTTGTAGCTCACATATCTTGAGCACTTGCTGTCTGTCACATACTGTGCCAAGGTGTTCATATGTGATCTCATTTGATTCTCACAACAAACTCTCATTATCCCCAATTTACAGATGGGTAAGCAACTTGTCTGGGGTTGCTCAGCCAGTAAGTGGCTATGACCCTCCTCAGTCTGACTTGAGAGCCCAAGGGTCTTCTGACTAACATCCCCTCCCTTTTGCCTTAGACACAGACCCATCTTTGACAGAGAGAAAGATACGTTCTCCCAGATGGGGTAAAACTACAGCTGGGTCTTAACATGTGCAGAAGCACTTCTGGTTTCCCCATAAATGTCATCCTTACTCATCATCTTTTTCTTTCTCCCTTTGACTAAATACCTTATTGACTCAAGTAGCTGCCTCTGACACAGTGAGAGAGGGGTTTGTGACTTGACTATTATTTTTCTGTAAAGCCCCCAAACTGTTCCCTGAGATAAACAAAATTGTATAGAATTAAAATTGGGAAAGAAAAAGATGCTTTGATGGTGAATGCTTATATTTTTTTAAAATCACTGAATATTAGAAGTCAAACATTTACACTTTGTTTCACAAAATGTGGTATTTGTAAGAAGGATGTATATACAATAAACATTATGCGGTATTTGTGCCTTGGAGTTCTCCAAACACATGGCAGAGCCTGATCAGTCATCACCAGAATCTGAAGGGGACGTTCTGAAGCTGATACCTTTTACTTATAAATGTAAAGATATCGCTGGTAGTCTTGGAATCATCCCTTCAATAGAGTTCTAGTTAGATATGTTTATTATGTTCTTTTTTCTAGGTTGCTTTCTATTGGAAAAGACACGAGCTTGACCAGAACTCAGTTTCTCGGACTGTATGTGGGGAAACACCTTCTTTACAGTGTAGAAGTGTTGAAAATATGGGCTATTCAGAAGACAATAATTATACTTCATACTTTTCTTGGGTACACAGATTGGTGACATAAGACTAGGGCGGGTAAAGTTGATAATGAAATCTAGCAATGAAGACAGTGACCCCACCACAGGAGGGGTGAGGAAAGCTGGCCACACCCTGGAGGACAGAAACAAGAAAAAGGCAGGGGCTTTGTATCACACTCTGGGCTCCCATAGCTATCCAAGGAAAAGAGGATGCTCTCCCCCAAGGACAGAGGTAGCAAGAGGGGGCCTGGCTTTACCAGAGTCGCCCAGAGGCCTGCAGCTCTCCACAAGCTGGCCTGAGCTGCCCGTGACTGTGGGAACAGCTCCTCTCGCAGCACCTGCTTCATGCTTAGGAGACCCCGGCTCCTGCCTCTCCCTGAACGCTTCCCCTGGACCCTCCAGCAGAACACGGGGCCTTGAGGCTCTCTCCAGCTCTCCAGCTTTATGGCCGTGGACCTTTAGAGGGCTCCGGTCCTCCTGACCACAGCTGTTGACCTTGGTGCAGCCCTCAGTCGCCGACCCCCAAAGGCTTGTACCCTGCCCTCCACTCCAGGAAAATCAATTCACCGTTTGTCGCACGTTTTAAGGAAACCATGAGAAAATGGGAGAGGATTCAGAGAAGGTAAGATTTTGAGAATGTGAGGAAGACGAAGATGTAGGGAGGGTGAAGATAAACCAGCACAAGGTTATAGGGCATAAAGTCTGGAAAGAGTCTGGGCTTTAGAGTCAGACAGACCTGGGCTCAAATCTGAGTTTCCATGTGCCTAGATACAACCGTGGGCAACACAGTCTCTTTAATCCAATTTTCTCATCTGTTAAAGGGGGAGTGGGGGACGACCACAGCCTCACTGGGTTGTTGTGAGGATTAAATGAGGTGATCCAATGAATAAGTATCTGGTGCGTGGCATGTGCTCAAAAACAGTTATTTTACCTTCCCCTCTTGAAAATTTCCATGGACAGAGATTTTAGTTTCCCCGCAGAAACCTCTCCATGGTTATAGCTCTCCAGAACTGAGAGGGTCTTCCACGTGTCCAATTAAAGCTGCTCAGAGTTTGCTTCGTGTGCTTTCTGCTGCTCCGCACTCTGTGGGACAGAGAGAGCTCAGCAGCCTTTTCAGAAAATCCCTCAGACGCTTGAAGAAAGTATTTTGAGTTTTACTTCAATAGCAACCAATCCTACCTTACAGTTTAAAAAAGGTACCATAAAAATGTATGATGTGGAAGAGGCCTGGGCTCGGAGTTAGGATGGTTCACGGTGCAAAAGATAAAAGGGTAAAAGCCACCCAACTGCCTCAGGGGGTCCGACCCACACTTTGTAGCGAATATTTACTTTGTGGCAAGCCTTTTGTGATCTTTGCTTTAAACACATTTAAATGTTACAGGACCCCTATAGACAGCTCTTATCATCACGCTTTTCCTTCTCTGAATTTCCCGGATGGGGAAACTGAGGCTAAAGTTCTCACAGCTAGTAAGGTGGCAGGGCCAGGAACTGGGCCCATGTCTGTATCTGGACAAAACTATGCTTCCTCTCCAGTCTGTGAGGATACAGAGCCTCAGACTCCGGAATGAAAAGGATTTTTCTGAGACCTGAGGAATTAGCTTTGGGAATTTTTCAGGTGGTAAAGAGTATGAAATTCTGGAAAAAACTATTGAAGAAGCCCATGCAGTGTCTTTTCCTTAATACTCCACCATACGGCGCCCCTTTGGAAGAGATGGACCCTTGACACATGAAAAGTTTGACTCTTGCACTCTTTCAGGGCACACGTGACAGTTTTCTGCCACTTAGCCATGTTGTAGAAACATGCTTTTTCAGAGGGACGTTTGTAATCTGTTAGAGAGGGTGCTGTTTGAAGCATGTGCCGTTTTACAAGCAATACACTACTGAATACACTGAGTAAAATTTTCTTTAGGGCCAGCTGAAAAGTACCACGTGTTTAGGGCCGTAATGAGATGGAAGAAGGTGTATGTGTTGGTTGTCCTGTAGACGGAGGGGTTCAAGGAATCTTTCTGAGCTTTAGGCTACTTTCCTCTCTGGGATTAGGGTGACACTCTGTCATAGCTCAGCTATGTCATTGTCCAGAGAGATCTCTCTGTTGCGCTCCCTTGAAGAGAGCCTTTACTGTGGGGCTGAGGGCAAAGCTTATATGAAAATTATGAAAATGAACACTTACAAGTAAGGGCCAATGTAAATAAGTCATCAAGTGGTGAAGGGTTAGCATATATATTAGAATGAAAAAAAGAACGATGCAGGTTTCCAGGACTGTGATTGCTATATAGGACTCCTGGGCTTCAGCAATGATGAAACAAACTAGTGCCCTTATGAGAAGGCCCTGCAGTAAAAGAAACAGGATTTGTTTTAATGCAAATGGGCTATTAAAAAACAAAATAAAATAATAAATGGTCAGACTGTAAATCTGATTATATTGCAATTGCCTGTATTGTTTTGCACATACATATTATTTTTTAAATTCCTTACGTTTAAGAAATGAAATAACACACAGAAAAATTGCACACAGTACAGAAGCTTCTTTCTCCTCCCTCATCCCAACCCTAGTCTATCTCCTTAAAAGTAATCACTGTTAACAGTGTATATTTCATACCAGAAAGAATTGTGTATATACAGGTCAAGCAAAGTAAATATGTATTGATTTTGATAGAAAGAGTGAGGTAGAGTCCCAGCTTTCTTTCTTTCTGAACAGCTGTTGATTATCCCAACATCATTTATTGGGAAACACCACTGATCTGAAATCCAACCTTTATCATATACTAAATTTTCGTGTGTATTCGGGATGCTTTTGAAACTCTTTTCTTCTATTGAGTTGCTGATTTCTTTTCTAGTACTTCTGAAATTACAAGCAACTCATTTTATGTTGTATTATTGTCTGACTTAGTCCCCCTATCGGTACTCATTCTCAGGTTGTTTATGTTTCTCATTTTTGTCTTGGTCAAGTTCCCGAAGCTAAGCCTGTTGTTATTTTAATTGGGATTTCCTTTAACTTATAATATGGAAAGGTTACAAAGTTTAGTCTTAACTCTTTAAGAACAAAGTATATCTTTCCGGTTATTTTATTGGTTTTTAAAATATCTCTCAATAGAGTTCTAAAGTTTTCTTCATATAGGTCTTTCAAATTTATTTCATTTAATCTTAGATATTTTGTCATCTTGATTGCTATTGCAAAGAGAAATATTTTCTTCTATTTTAAGTTCTTGTTTGCTCATTTCTACTAATGAGTTAGTAGAATTTATCTTGTTCTAAATTGTTTCCCAGTTGATTTTATTTTTTAGATCTTTGATCATATCAGCTGTAAGAAATGATATATTTTGCCTCTTCTTTTCAAATATTCATACTTATTCCTTTTTCCTGTCTGATTGTGGTGACTAGTGGGCATCTTGTTTGTTCCCCATTTTAATGGGAATACTTCTGAGGTTTAATTATGTATGATGCTGACTTTTGGGTTTATTTTTATAATGTCAGTGAAATATCTGTGTATTCCTATTTAACTGGTCCCTCTCTTCTTCCCTTGTTCACTTTTTTTTCACTCAGAGATGAATGTTGAATTTTGTCAAATGTGTTCTGTATCCTACTTGATAGTGTCCTAATTTTTTCTTCTTTTACTTATGGTGGATTAATTTAATAGAGTCCTAATATTGAATCATCCTTATGTTTCTTCTTCATGGTGTGTTTTGAAGAAGCACTGATGAGCATTTTCTGTTACTATATTAATACTGCTGCTTCGATACAAGTGAGATTTCTATTTAGTTTTCTTTTTCTGAACTTGGTCAGGTTTTGATATCAGTGTTACACTGACTTTGTAAAAATAGCTCAGAAATGTTTCTTCTTTCTCTATTCTTTGAAAAAGTTTGAATAGTATCAGAATTGCATCCCATGAAGGTTTGAAAAGAGTTAACCTGTGAAAAAGTCTGGGCCTGACACATTTCTGAAAGATACTCTCATCCCACCCCCCACCCCCACCCCCCCCCCCCCACCACACCC